GAGAGAGAGAGAGAGAGAGAGAGAGATAGATAGACAGATAGATATACGTTTAGTTTACAATTTATTTATAGAAACTTGCTATGATGGAGGGCACTGGGCTTAGTGAGCAACAAGTAGCTGGCAGTTTTTCCTCTGATATACATTCTCTTATAGTGTCCTTCCTATTCCAGATTTGTTCCAGGAGTCTGTGAAGAAGTACTATGAGTTGAAACTGACTCACTTCAAGCCTCTGATCTGGAATGACAACTTCACACTTAGCCTCAGCGACATCTTCACCCAGTTAGAGTTGATACAAACACTAACAGGAAAACAAAGAAAAGAGCTTAAGTCATTAGACGACTTGTTCAAGCCAGATGTCACAGGACTGTCCACAGCACCAAGGTGCATTCTGATTGAGGGTGAAGCTGGAGGGGGGAAGACAACATTTCTGTCCAAAGAAGCCCTAGATGCCGTCTCACAGAAAACAGAGCTGGGCAGACGGCACAACATCGTCCTGTTGATCCGACTCCGGGAGGTGAGAGAGGGGGAGACCATAGAGGAGATGGTGTGGGACCAGTGTGTTCCCAAAAGAAAAGATGTTAATGTAGAGTACATTGAAGCAATGCTTGAGAGAAACGAGTCCCGTGTGCTCTTCCTCCTAGATGGGTATGATGAGCTGCGGCCTGAGGCCAGGGCAGCCGGGCAGGCCATTCCCAAACTGCTGTCTGGCAAGATGTACCCCAACAGCACGATTGTGATCACCTCCCGACCCTCAGCAGGAGTGCAGCAGTACACCCGGCCAGACTGCCATGTACACATCATGGGCTTCTGGCCTAAACATATGGTGGAATATGTGCAGGAATATTTCATCATTACACAAAATCCTGAGCTGGGAGAGGAGTTCATCAGGCGATATTTCAAAGTCACTCCAAAGCCTGGACAACAGAATGTTGTTACTCTTAACAGCCAGGAACTCTTAAGCAACCTCATCCAAACCCCAATATTCCTGATGTTTGTGTGTCTGCTGTGGGAGGAGGACCAAGAGATGGTGTCTACTGGAACAATGATGGGGCTGTATGACAACCTGCTGACATGTCTGGTCAGAAAGTGCTGTAAGCGGGAAAGATTGGACATGCCAACAGAAGGGCTGCCTACAGAGGTTGCTGAGTCATTACTGCAGCTCGGCAAGCTTGCACTAGAGGCACTGCTGAGGAATGAGACCCTGCTTGACCTTACAGCAGTAAAGAGAGAAAAGGTTAATTGGGAGTTACTGTTAAAGCTTGGTGTGGTCTCCTTGGAGGTTTCTTCCTCTAAATTGCATCCCAGGAAACAGCTGAACTTTTCACACAAGACCATGCAAGAGTTCCTGGCCGGACGATATGTAGCTCATGCTCAAGTGAACCAAGACATTGTTGAGCTGCTGCAATTCACCTCCATAAGCAAGGCACTAGAACTCAGTAACCTGCTTCAGTTCACATGTGGCTGTGACTCACAGGCAGCACAAGCTGTGATGGAGGAACTAAGCAAGCTCAGCAGCAGAGAGTTTGCACACTTGCAACTGGAACAGTTTGAAATATTAAAATGGTCAATCGATCAAGACATTCCAATGGATCAAGACGTGCAAAAGTCCTGCCAAACCTATGAAAGGTTTGCACACTTGTGCCTGAACATCCTTAGTGAGAGACAAGAACCAGAAGTGCTTCAGGGTATCAGTCAAGCCCTGCCAATTGTCATGCTGGACAGCTCCATTAACAGTAGAGAAGCCACAGGTCTTAAGTATTACATACAAAATCTTCATTCAGCAAACCTGCCAGACAGGCTCATACTTAAGATCCATAGAGGTACTGACAGAAGAGACACAGTTCAGTACCTACAGCAGTGTTTTACAACTTCACTCCCTGGACTTAAATTGGACTTGGAACTATGGGGACAGTTTAACTCACCTGATCTGACAGCCAGGCTGGTTTCAGTTCTGAAGAATGTTCCCTGTCTGAGGGCGCTGCATCTGTCAGGCACAGACCAAACACCATCATCACTCCAGCCACTTGTGCAGGGGTTCAGACACATGCCTCTGTTAGAGGAGCTGGATCTTTATGGGAACAATGCCCTTGGTGATGTTGGGATGGAAGTCCTACAGGTTGGGCTGTCCAGTGTTCCACACCTGGCTGTACTCCGTCTTGGAGGGAGATATTTTGGCATTGGCTTGACAGCTGTGGGCATGTCATCCCTGGCTCCCTACATGCGCCACCTAGTGGGACTGAGAGAACTGGATATAAGTAAGAATGAGATTGGTGACACTGGGGTGGAATCTCTCACCACCGTCCTCCACACATTCACTGCCATGCAGGTGTTGGGCCTGAGGGCGACCGGTATCAGCCCCACAGGCATGCGCACACTGGTCCCTGCACTGTGTAAGTTAACCAGACTGATCAAACTGGACTTAAGTGATAATGCCATAGGAGACCCCGGGCTGGAATGCCTGGCTGCTATCCTCCACCACCTCACAGCCATGAAGGTGTTGGATCTCAGTGGGACACGTATCAGTGACAGGGGAATATCATACCTGATCAAAGCTCTGCCTCACCTGGTGCAATTACAGGTGTTGGATGTGAGCATCAATAACATAGGAGACTCAGGGATTGTCTCACTGGTGCAAACACTCTGCCAGCCCAGCAGTTTGGACATGGAACAAAACCCACCTGGTGACAAGAGTCTGACCACAGCCCCTCACTATAACACCAAACTACAGAAGCTGCACATCGGGTGGAATGAGGGAGTAACAGGAGCCGGACTGGGGAGGTTTGCACAGGTCATCAGCACACTGTCGGCACTGACCAGGCTGGACATGTCTGGTTACTCTGACACACCTACACACCTGTCTGACACCGCTGCCATGGATCTGGCCGAGGCTCTACCCAGACTCCCTGCCCTGGAGGAGCTGGTCCTGTGGCACATCTCCATGGAGCCTGCAGGGTTCCAGGCTGTGGTGCAGGCTGCTGAGGAACACCCAACACTGGAGAGGCTGGGGTGAGTTATATGGGTTATCCTATAGGCATGCTCTACTCCAGGGTATCTAAAAGGGACTGTAATGAGATAAACAGGTGTTAGAATTGATTATGATGAGATATGTGATTTGACTTTTTCTGTACCTTCAAGACTGCACTAGATGTGTTTGCACAGTCAAATTGTAATAAATGTACCTAATAGATACACACCTGTTCTGGTACACATACTTTCTATAAGGTATGTACCAATTATACATGTAAGAAGTGTACAATAAGCTATATGGCACCAAATGATTTATCTTGTTTATCAGTAGTTTTACTCCCACATTCTGTTAATGTTGTAATGACAATATTATGTTAATTGTTGTAACTAAGCATCTCTGTTCTCCATTTTCCACCTACAGGTACTCTAGGCGGCTAGTTCCTGAGGGAGTGGACACCACAGCCAGCTGCCTGAAGCTGCTCAACTGAGTTCCCAACATGGCGACCTGTTCTGTACATTTCCTCACTCAGGTCAGTGTACTGTATTGAAATTCGTGAGGTTATAGTTATGCCAACATGTTAGGGACATTAATATACATGTAGAACAGTTACTTATTTGATTTCATAACTGTTACAATACAATGTATATTTAGCATACTACATTTGCTGTTTTGAAGATGATTAAGACTTAAACAGTAAGACAAGATACAACACAAACTACAAGCAGTTGGAGACACTGCACCAAAAGCCTTTATTAGCAAAGAGATGAACAACTGAAATGCAAAGATTAGCCACACAAGATGCTGCGCAGCCAGACCTAGAGTGCTAACATACATGTAATCTTCCAGACAGAAGGATGCCTTAACACTATTAATGCTAAAGCACCAGTGCAGTAGTAATACAATTGAATTGGCAGAGAACCACTTGCAATGATTGATGCTGAACTAGAGTTCTTAACATTTATTACATGTCTGTAGTGTATTAGGCACAGGAGGAACTAAGGTCTAAGTAAGTGTTTTAGTGCTTTTATTACACGTGTACAATGTTTTCGTTCCTTGGAGTTTAACCTTAACGTTTATAAATTACTGTATACTTCCATAGGCTGTGTTTCTTACAGGTGTGGCTGTCCCAACAGGTGTGCTAACAGGTGTGTTTGTTCCAGGTGTGGCTGTCCCAACAGGTGTGCTAACAGGTGTGTTTGTTCCAGGTGTGGCTGTCCCGACAGGTGCCCTCCATTCTGGACCCCCTGTGTAAGTACACCAGCAGGTGTAAGGTGTGGGGGACCACAGGTGTGCTAACAGGTGTGTTTGTTCCAGGTGTGGCTGTCCCGACAGGTGTACTAACAGGTGTGTTTGTTCCAGGTGTGGCTATCCCGACAGGTGCCCTCCAGTCTGGACCCCCTGTGTAAGTACACCAGCAGGTGTAAGGTGTGGGGGACCACAGGTGTGCTAACAGGTGTGTTTGTTCCAGGTGTGGCTGTCCCGACAGGTGTGCTAACAGGTGTGTTTGTTCCAGGTGTGACTGTCCCGACAGGTGCCCTCCAGTCTGGACCCCCTGTGTAAGTACACCAGCAGGTGTAAGGTGTAGGGGACCACAGGTGTGCTAACAGGTGTGTTTGTTCCAGGTGTGGCTGTCCCGACAGGTGCCCTCCAGTCTGGACCCCCTGTGTAAGTACACCAGCAGGTGTAAGGTGTGGGGGACGGCCTACGTGGACAGGGAGAAACTGGACATTGACCTGCCGACAGCCGAGTAGTTCTACCAGAAACTCCTGCAGCTAGAAAACCACTTCAGGGAGAAGTATAGGGAGGTCAGGTCAAAGATCAGGGGTCAATGACAGTAGAACTAGGTCAAGGGTCAAGCTAGGCTTCTCAGGAATTTGTTTTTACCCATTGATGTGAATGAACTTTTCATAACAGTCTTTAGTGTCACAAAGGTCAAGGTTCATTCAACCAGGGTCCATCAATGTGATGTTTTGAATACCAAGTTCTGTTATGAGAAAGGAAAAAGAATTTTAAAGTTTTGATTCAATAAAGCTTAATTCAGCAATAGTGAACATTGTCATATGACCAGTAAATGTAACTAAGTACATTTCTGTAATTTCTTAAAGTAAACTCGCAAATGTTTATTACTCTTATATACCGGTAGTTACAAGTATATCCAATCTGTTCATTGTAATTAGTCAGAATGATCAGCTAGAAACTGTGATATTATATTATTAGCTTGTTGTATGTATTATAGCAAAATGCATATACAGCCAGATCATGAATGGACCAAACATGTATATACTTCACTTGTTCTAGTAGACTTTCAGTCTTTGTGGATTATCAAAGAGAACCCACTTCATTTCTGTTGTATATTTTGTACCAATCTGAAGTAATCTGTGATGTGTTTAATAAAATGTGCCCACAGATTTCCAAATGTATTATGAAGAATCAGCAATAAAGAATAAATCTATTGTATTTGATGTTGTGCTTGATATTGTGTTGAGCTTGAGAAACAAATAACTACAAATAGATCAAACAATTTTGCTTTCATCTATCCATGAATGTTTCAACTAGACAAGGCAGCAAAAACCTGAATCGTATGAAATCCCCAACTTCCCTGAGGAATCAGAAGGAATTCTTGGAATATTGTAGCTTGAATCCTACACTACATCTTAGGAACCGCCCCAGAGGCGCCGCCAAAAACCCTCAAGTGGCAACTTCACGGAACAGTCCATTTTCTTCACCTCACGGGAGTGAAAATCAGATTGTACTTCAATTAAAACTAATATTGCGTCGCTTAGGAGCTGACGATGGAAATTAAATACTACTTCGTACTTTATAATCGTCCAAATACTTGTTTACTTTGCTAAATGATCTATTTGTTTTCGATGCGTGTGCTTTCCAAACTCCCCCATTGTCGAATAGACTCTCCCTAGTTACAAAATGGCGGTAGGCGGAAGTAAAAACTCTTATCGAAAGCCGGTTCCAGAAGTTGAAGGAAGTTTTCTGGCGACATCCATGAAGAAAGTAAGTACAGATCCCGTCTGTCGACTGTTCAGTGTTTCAGGATCCACCAGATGTGTGTGATTTGTTGGCAATATCGTGTCGAGAAGAGAAATCAGAACACAAACTGTTGAGTTCTAACGGTACTTTACGGTCGTAACTTTTCTTTGTTTGCTATTTAGATTTGCGGTAAAAATTTAGGATGAACAATCAGTTAAAAACAAAGTTACCCGTGAAGTTTCAAACCCAGCATACTCAAGTTCACCTGCAAAGTTGTATTTTCCTACAAAATTACCACTGGAAGCGA